ATATTTTAGATGAAAAATTTTTTTTCATCATTTTTATACTCAATTTGAACATCCTCAAATTAAGATATTAAGATTTTGAATAAAATATTTTCTTTAGTTATAAATAAAGTTCGAAATATTCTACTTCAATTACGAAATATTTAAGTTTTTCGCTCTGTGTACACAAACAGCTGGATAATAAAAGATGATGGGAGGTAGCAATCTGCCCGGCATTAACACCCACTTGCTATTTTCTTGTTCAATCAAAGATTAAACAGTTGAAACCAATAAAAAAAAAGGGTGGCAGAAAAATAGAAATAGGACAATGAAGCATCGTTTGCGGAGACCACAGAGGCCCATTAGAAAGTCTGAACAGTGGGACGTAATCATTTCGTGGCCGCAATGGCAATAGATGAAATGCATTAATGCCAAGTCAAAGTTTCGTGGCTGAAAATCGATTTGCATGCGCTCTTTGCATTTCCGGTTCCCCCCTCACACACACACACACACACGCAGGCGTGCACACACATGCGACGACTTAATTACAGTTTTAAATAACCCATCTAACTGGAATTTGCGCAAAGTGCGGCACAGTTGCAATTGCCGCTGGCTAGCCATTGTTGTTGCCGCTCGTAAAGCCCCCGAAAATGCACTCGAGTTAATTGCCATTGGCTCGACTTTTGGCCAACTTGGCCGGAGTCCTGCGGGCTGCTGCTGCTGCTCTTGCCGCTGCTGCCGGTGGATTTTATTGCCAGCCATTTTGAATACCATTTCGTGGTTTATTACTTTTGTGGCCAGGCAGATTCTCAAGTAGAGCGCCAAGTGCATGGCATACACACACACACAAATACACACGCGTACGGCAGAGACTGGTGTGAATGCACTTTCGATAGCCGTCGCGCACACCTCGAGAGTTGAAAATTAAACATATACAGTGAACGCTGTTATAATCGGACACACAAAGTCAAACCCAAATTATGGAAGATGGGAGAGTTACATACTATTTCAATTGTAAAGCCTAAAACAAGTTAAGTTAAACAAATACAAAAAAATTGTAGTTTTACTTTATAAACATAAAAAAATATAATCTGTTGAATTTTTAAAATATCACAACCCTTTAACTTCACACTTTTTCCTTTTCAAACGCAACATTACATTTTTTTTGATAGTTTAAATATTTTGGTGCAATATTATTGCTTTGAGAACAGATTTGCGATTTACATAATCGCTAATTAATTGATTAATTTTTAATATAATAATTGACAGCCGCTAAAAGTTGAAAAATGTAAGGCAATTGCATTTTTAAGCTAACACGATGCGAACATTTTGCAATTAATGCAACAATTTTTAATTATAATAATTTTTTAAATATTTGTTCTTGCTACCATTTTTTGCTCCAATGAAAATTAGCGACTTACATAATCGCCAATCAATTAAATAATTTCTAATAAAATTAAAGAAATTGCATTAGATTGTAAAAAGTCGCTTCTGGCTGTGTTTTAAAGTTTAGATTAGGATTACCGATTAAGCATTTTGTTTATAAAAATGATTATTTCATAAAAATAAACAGTTTTAAAAACATAATCGACAAGGGCTAAGCGTAACAAACAATTTAGGGTAAATATTAAAATGACCAAGATACTTAAATTTTACGAAATTTTTCGCTTTAAAAAAGCTTCTGACCTAAGACAATTCTTGCCTGTGAGTTGTACTGTTTTTATTGCTTTGAAAAATGTTATTTTTATTTAAATGCAGGTTTATGTGCATTTTGTGTGAAACAAATTATGCAGAGCTTGTGGCGACGAAATTTGTTCGGTTATATGAGCTGTCCGTGTTGGGAGCTTTCACTGTATGCACATTAAAGAGTGTTCCCTATGTATATCAGGCAACACTCATGCCCTATGTGGACACCGGTCTGGAGCAGACCCAACACACGACCGAGTTTTCACTGTATACATATACATACATATGCATGTATATATATAATTGTGTGTGTTGTATTTATGGTGCAGCCCAGTGGCCAACGCTGACGATTATGGCAGTTAGCGTGGGCCGTAACATGGATTATGGCTGCTTTTTGACAGCCACAACAGCCGTTTGGGGCCAACACGCAGAGCTGCCGTTTTGCAGTGCAGCAAATTTTATTATTTAAGCGCCCAGCAACCGCCACCCACCCTGCCCATCAACCTACGGCAGCCTGGCAACCAAGCTGGCTTTAAAAATCAATTAACCTTGATTGCGGCCGTACTCAATAAGTTTTCTCTTTTTTTTTTTTATTTTATGGCTGCCAACGAGCAGACCAGGTCAACCAGGCCGACGTTGTCTTTGTCCTTTGTGCTTGTTTATTATTCCGGCTTTGTTTTGTTGCCTTTTTCCCCTTTCCCCTTCTCCTTACCCACCCCCGCATTGATGACTTGCAATATGGAGCATGACATGCGGCAACTAAATGCCTGTTACAGCCTGCCCAGTCACGCCCACTAAAATGCCAAATGTTAATTTTAATAATGCTCGGCTTGACCTCTTATCGAATGCCGAAGCTCAAAAACACAAACCAAATCCATAACAGTTGAATTTATATATATATATGTATACATATATAGTATATGTCTGTGAATATGAAAAACAATCTGATGGAAATCGCATTTCAAGGGTCAAAACAAATCCCAGCAAAGGTGCGGACCATAAAAAAAAAAGGCAAAATAAAAGCAGAAGCGAATCATAAAACGTAGCTAACCCTAAAAATCCTCAGCTCAGCCTGGTCCAGACAACAAAGCAAATTTTAACATTATAATTTTTAATATTTTTGCCTTTCGGCCTTGTCGCTGTCGTTGTTGTTGTTGTTGTTGTTGTTGCCTTTGGTGTGAAGCTGTCAAATGCAGAGCACCCTAGACAGGGCTCTAGGTAAGGCTCTGGCTTGGTTCCGGACTGCAAGCTGTGACATCCTTACAAAATGTGGCAAACGGAAAGCACACACACGTGCACAGACACACACAGGACACACACACACACACACACACACACACACATAGAGGACACTCACATATACAGGCCCGCCTGCTGCCTTTCAATTTTGGCATCTTCTTGCTCTCAGCTCTTGGCTTTCGTTTCTTTTTAACTTGAGTTGCCTTCGATTTCACGCAGCGCTGGCAATTTTATGCCAAAAAAAGAAACCCAACTTGTAGCCCTGTCACGCCCCCTCTCTCTGGCCCACGCCGTGGCTTAGCCTTGTTGTTGTCGCTGCTGTTGCTGTTGCTTGTTTACTGTCTTTTATTTATTTGCCTGTTGTTGTTGTCCTTTCCCAAGCATGGGAAATCGAATTCGAATCACTTTCGGATATTTTGGTTATAAAGTCGGAAATTTTTGGCGACATTATTGTTTTCGACATTTTCCTAGTTTTTGGCAAACATTTTTCTCCCACTTCAAGACTTCCCCTCTCTCTCTCTCTCTCTTTTTCTCTTGGGTTGTGACATTGTTTGGCTCTTTTGCGCATTGTCTGTGCCCCGCATTGAAAATTTATTGCTTCCAATTGAGTGCACGAAGCGGCAACAACAACATGGAGGGAGCAGCAGCTGGAGGAGCAGCAGGCAGCAACAGCTCGCGCGCTTGTCCTTGATATACACGTGCGTTCATAGTCCCTGTCCCTTGTTATGGAGCCCTCGCCCCGCCCCCGTTGCCCCTGACGAATGCCCACGCTGTGCGCTGTGGCAACATATTGGAGAAGGAAGCACACATGTAAGCAAAATTGACAAGGCTAAAGGATATCGATGTCTGCTTATAATGTGCAACATATTAAACCTAAGCACACGCTCCCAGCGTTCGCCCGCTCTATAAATAACAGCAGCAGCAGCACACCTCAGCTCAGCTCGCCTCGCCCCGGGCATATCCCTCTCTGTAATAATCAAAGTTGCCGCCAAAACAGTTTTCACTTTGGCTGCTATTATTTTGCTGGCCTGGGCTGCCATTGATGTCCTTTTGGCCCTGCGGCTAATATATGAGTCCATGTCGCAGCGTTTTGGCCTCGCCTTCGCCTTCGCCTTTGCTTTTGCTTTTGTTTTTTTTTTTGTGACCCACTAGGCACATCAGTTTGCTCTCCGGTAAAATCGACTCCAGTTGAGTTGATATTGATGATGTTATTAAAATAATAAATTATTTGAAAATTATGAACTGGCGCCATTTCTCATCACGTGCAGAACATTTGCCCAGTTCCTAAACATAAATCAAATGCTAGCCCTTACTTTAAGTGACTGTCACTCGAAGGCGCAACTTGTTAAAGGTTTAACTCACACAACAACATTACACACACACACACTCGCACACGCACACACCTGACAGACATATACAGACTTTAAAATTAGAAGCCAACTGTGCATGTGGGACGAAATTGAATTAATAATAGTCTATACAATTGGTTGGTCTCTTCCTATCTAACTCAGTCGCTTACTGAAAAACATTGAAATGTGCAAGCATTACTTGAATTTATGAGAATCGCAAAGAAAGGCGTTTGCAGATAATAAAAAAACAGAAAGCGATTTACGGAGGGAGCGTGGTTGTAGGTAATGCAGAAGAAGGACAGAAGGATTAAGTGAAAAATTAGTGAGGAAGAGATGAAATTAACACTTGTCTTGTTTTGACCCTCTTATTCTGCCTCAAACAAAAAAAAAAAAAATTTAAAAGCATAGCTTGAATTTGTGAAAATCGCAAAGAGAGCGAGAGAGGGAGTAAGTGTTAGAGTAAAAGAAAACTGTAGGACATAGGAATTGTGTGCAAAATAGAGCTAAGAAGAGGCGCAATCAACACTTGCTTTGCTTTTTTCTCATTTAAATTCTTACTCTCTAGCTATTGCTGAAATTTATGAAAATCGCATAGAAGGGTGAGTATATAATACTATATTATTACAAGTCATATTTTTTTTTTAAATGCACAGGATATTGTCTGCTTGTAACTTCTGAAACAGGAAGCTCCACCCATATATATTTTGCAGTTAAAAGCCGGAATAAATCGTCATTTGTGTCTGCACTTACCTGTAAAGTGGTTTGCCAGCGGTCTCACGGAACCAGAGTACCATATAGACACGGTCGTCCTTTGCCTCCGGCTCAATGTCACACGGCAAGGATGCGGTGCGTCCCAGCACGGCCTCCACAGCCACAGTGCTAACTGCAAAGAGAGAAAAGGAGTAGGATTAGACCAAAAGTCAATTATAAGCGAAGCGCGTGCAAATGCAGGCAGCAATCCAAGTTTAGTTTTAAATGCTACAACACGATAACTATTGACAAAGTCATTAACACAATATTAAATTGTCTGTTGTTGTTTTTGTTGTAGCTGCAATTACCTGACTCCTTCGTCGATTTCTTAAACATCAACAAATGTCAACAAAACGCTGCCTTTTAACTGTCACGCCAATGGCACGCAAAGCAAAACCAAAAAACGAAACCCAGCCGCACGACAAGTCCAACCCCGCCAGGTCCTCACCAGCCCGTCTCCAACTTCAATTCGAAAAGCCCGCCACACCCTGACCCTAACCGCAATCGTAGCCATCGTCGTAGTCGCATAATCACAACCAAGTACGTGAGTGGGAATATTAATGCTAAATTGACGACAACGACAACGACAACTACGATGAAATCGCCAACAAGAACAACAACTGGATGAGAATGCTCGACTAGGAGATACCCTGGATAAATCGCGAAGCTGGCGTTACATATTCAAAAACGCTGCGATTGCGCCTCTTCTTCCCGCCTGGGACCCACTCTATGCGAAAAGCCCAACTATGGTATCTAGAAGTATGTAAATATCAAAGCTGAAGACCTTACCACAAAAAAAGAGTATTAACAATCTTGTGAAAAACAGGACGAGATTTTCATACGGATGCAATATTCTGGATCTGTATATACTATACAAGACACACATTTTGAGTAAGCTTCGAGATATGCTTAAAATAAGAGAGTTTATATTTCTAATTTGATCGATTTTTCATCTCTAGATCAGAGACAGAACAGCAAACATGGTTAGATCGGGCCCAAAGACCCCGGCTTCGGCCTGTTTCTTTATACCCTTTTGACCCATTTTCAACTTACAGGATATTACAACGACAACAACTACAATGGAATGATGACGATGGCAACGGCATTGCCGTCAATGAGCTCTGCTCCCGGTTTTATATCTAGTCCTAGCTGTCGTCCATCCGCCTGTCTAGCTGCGATTTCATGGCGGCCTCATCTTTTGCATTTAAACTGCCAATTGATGTCAGTGCAAAGAGATATACGCCTAGGGCACAGCCGGGAACTGGTGGGGCTGGCAAACTCTAAAGCCAATCCCAGCAAATGACAGTGGTTAAGGCGCTGTATTTCAACTGCCTGAGGTGATTGCTTGATGGCCCAATGAGCTTTGTCTGACCGCAGACATTGCAGACTGCAATTGCCTATTCGATATATGAATATTATATATATACAATTGCAGCGCGATAGCTGCAGGAAGTGGCATTTGTTATCTAAAGCTTAATTGGAAGATAACAGAAAATAAAAAGAATATTGACAGACTCAGAGGTATTCTAACTTTCTTTGATTTCGAATGTTTGCTAACAAATGTGGCTAGTAGGCGTCCAAGTCTCTAGATCTTAAAGGAAAGGTGTCTACTGATTCTTTAAATCTTAAAATAAGAAAATGTTACGATAGTTCTTGATTCCTTTTCGAATATCTGCTTATATCTTTTACATTATAAGTTTGTTGAGATCTCAACTATCTTCAAAAATGATCTTTAATCATGCTAATCAAAATTTGGAATAAAAGTATTATTAATTTAATAAACTTCAGTTTTTAGTTTCCTCAAATACTTGTGTTTTCCACATTCTCTGGATAACGAGCCCTAATTTTTGTGCTCAGTGGGTCAAGGCTTAAGGCAAGGCAAATACCGCACACGGGAATTAAGTCTCCCAAGTCCTAACATTTTATATAGGAGATAGCCTTTCCAATTAAATACTATCCATCATAATACTAATCTTATCTCTATTACCTTTTACACACTATTTCTTTAATTAATTTTTTTTTATAATATCTAAGAAACTATTGAGTAATAGTTTATCCTACGCACAAAGTTGTAAATTTTTTTTTATCCAGTTAATTCCGTTTTTCTATGCGGCAGCCATATATCTTCAAAAAGGAGCTACGTATTAAGCGATATATTAATTTGAGATACAATTTCATTGATTTAATATATTGAATGTAGCCGTTTAAGCGTTTGTCAATTCCGAGCTGATTGATGATTGACAGCGATTTAAGGCACAGTTAACGCTAGACAGTACACCTGGCAGCTGCTGGGGCAAAGGCAACAGCCCACGCACACATACACACGCACACGCACACGCTCACAAACTCAGAGATCCATCAAACGGCGCAAAGCTCATTAATACCCAAAAAGGGGATCCGCAATGATGTTACGCGTAATTTAATTTTTGGGACACCCGCCAGCAGCAAATTCCTCACGCATAATTTCAGTTTGCACTCGGCTTTGTGTCGCGTACGTGTAGGTGTGCGTGTGTGTGCGCCTGTGTGTGTGTGCCAGTGTGTGTGTGTGTTTTTGTGTGGGAGGCAATGGTAAAATTTTTGACATTTATTTAATATGCGCACGTTTTATAGAAAAGCAATTCCCAGTCGTATAATTTATGGCACACTACAAAAATTTGCAAATGACGACGACAGCAGAGGGCAGACATATACATATATATAAATATATATGTATACATATATACATGTATGAGTATGTGTGACATTTGTACAATGTGTGTGTGTGTGTTGGTGTGTATTTGGAATGTCGCAAAACATTGTAGCAATTTTCGATGCGTTTGTTATTCCCATGTAAGATGTCAAACTCCCAACGAGCAGACCAACACACACACGCACACACATAGACACACACACACGCACACACACATTGCCGCACTGTCTAGGCAGCGCGCTGCGTCTCTTGACGGCAGCGGCATCAGCAAATTGACATAATTTGTGACGCTGCCGCCTCCACCATCCGCAGCTCCTCCAGCCGCCAGCCGCCAGCTCCCAGCCGCAGGCTCAGACTCAGCCGTCGCGCTGTGCGCCCAGGCATGAGTGTGTAATGAGTGATTTGCCCGTGAGGCGCACATCGCAGATAGCGGGCGCCAATCGTTGCAAGCAGACCTCCCTCCCTGCCACACTACGTCTACCCCCTGCTGCTGCTGGCAGACCACAAGCCAACCAACTGGCAGCGCTTGGATTTTGGCCAAGTGGAGCGTGCTGCGGCTTAGGTGCCCAGCTGCTTGTGGGGTCATTGGCATGGATTAGTCTCAGCGGCGGCAACAGTTGACAGACTTGACAAATGTGTCCTAGTTTACAGCTGTCTCTATGCGTGTGTGTGTGTCTGGTTAATAGTTATTTACACACGCACACAGGTTTAATTGGCCAAGCTTAATTGTTGCCTTGTTTATCTTAAATATTTATAATACATCAAAATATATTTTACTATACACTGAAATATGTGCAATTAAATGGACCTGGCTGACCTGCCACAATGTTTGCATTAAATATTTACGAGCATTATGCAGCAATTTGTTGCAATAATTACACCTGCGTAATACTAATGTGGTTGGCTGTGGATATCTATAACTATTGGAGTTTTAAAATTATATGATTTTATTTGCTAGATCTTGGGAAAGAAATTTATTGCTATGCTGTCTGTCATCTTTCAGTTTTATTATTTCTTTGTTTTATATTTTGATAAATAACGTTCATTATCCAAGATATTTAACTTTTCTAAAACTAAAGAGATTTTCTTGCCTGCGGACATGATTTATAGCGCTTTGATTCTGCATTGAAAATTAATTAATTAACAATTTTTGGCTCAAATTAAGCAAATTTTTTTTAAATATATATCACGTCCATTAAAGAAATAAATAAACAATATTCAAATTGTTAGCTTGGTATGGCTATAAAAGTAGGCGAAAACAAATCATATAATAAACTATATATGGGATATTTGGAGACCGTTGGGATATTTGGCCAGACCGTTAACAAAGAGCCAAACCTCCTGAAAATCGAATGGGATTTGACCGAGTTATCGGAGTGGAAATTTTGACTTGTGCCTATATAGGGACACATAAAATAAATTCTATCCGTTTTTAATATGATTTCTTTATAAATTAGATATCAAATATTTTTGGATTAAAATTCATCAAAATAAAAAATTTGGAAGACGTCCTTAAGTGTACAAGCCGTGCCAAAAATTATAATTAGTTAACATAGTAAAAAATAGGTAAAAAAAAAATGTATTTATCAACTTTTTGCTCAAAACCAACTGTCTTCTCTCTTTATAGACTGTCGTTTGGTTTCAATTTGCCGGAATTTTATGAAAGCAGCGATATTTAATATGCGTTGACTTTGAGATAGTTGCTGTGATCTTATTAAATGCGCTGTATTAAAAGTTATTGCAAACTAGATGCTAGGAGAGCCTTTCAGTTTTAGTATCTGATATTTGCTTTTTGCTGCAGTGCTCTTTCGGTGCTGGCACATAAGTTTTCTATTACACAATGTCATTTCACTTTTTTTTTTTTTTTTAATTTTCTCTCTTTTTCTATTTTTATAAGTAGCACAGGATGAGGCGGATACAAATTTCATTTGTTCGCGTGTCCGTGGCAGCCGTGTTGTTGTTGGTTTTGCTGTTGTTGTGTGTTTTTTTGTGTTGCATGCAAACTACCAACAGCTCGGCAACACATACTTAACACACAAGCGCGCGCACACACACACACACACACAGAACGGGGAATAAGTCGAAGTGCTCTAATCGCGAGTGTCCGACTGAGAGATACCCTGCATTGAACGTCGAGTTGCCTTTACAATCTTTCTAGCTTCCTTTCATGCATACACAAAGAGACACACACACACCCAAGCAAACAAATACAATCACACGCACAGTCACGCACGCCGATTGCTGTCCAGCTTCTGTTGTGCTTCTTCTTCCGATAGTTCTATGAGTAATCCGTTCTTGAGTAATTTCGGTGCTTATGGTCCGATTCGTATGAAATTTTCAGCACATAAATATCGTATCGAAATACGCGTAAATACCAGAGTATACCTGTAGAAATACCTTCTTTAGAATTTGAAGTCTATAGCTCTCATGAGCTTCGAGATATG